CGATTTTAAAAAAAAAAAAAAAAAAAAAATATGAAAATATTACCACAAAAATTGTTTACAATAATTTTTAGGATACAATTTTCGTGTTTTTTTTTTATTTATTTTTATATATACGTTTTCAGAAATAATTTTTCATTCGTTACATTCATTTTCTTGTCACTCGGGGTTATTATTAATTTACTTTTCTCGCGGAGTGGGATAGGCTTTAATTAGCGAAGGGTGGAGAAATTAGATGAAAGAATTCTTCAGAGAGGTTACCGTCACTAATGTATCTTGGATGGGATTCCATGGAGCGGGAATGAAAGTGAGACCTCGGAGTGACAATTTCAGGAGCGATTAGGCGTCACGGCCTGAGTTATGTGCGTACTAAACGGAGTACCGCGCCCCATTGAGTCTGAACGCACTTTCGTAAAAATAGAACGAATCTATATGTACGTGTATATATATGTTTACCATGCTGAGATTCTGCGCAGCATCGTCGTTGTTCACGACTTTTAAATCTTTACAGTTTCCTCAGGGACGATGCAAAGTTCAATGCATTCAGCCATCTTGAAAGTCGATCGCACCAAGAGAGCATATTTATCGTGAATTTTATTATCGAAAAAATATTAAAAAATAAATTAGTTCTTAGGTATATACCGATATTAGCCTGACGTTCCTCCTCGACCATTAGATACTTTCGAACCACACGGATACTCGATATCAAGGATTTAATTATATACGTGAAATTTGATATATTCAAAATACATTTGATCTTCGCTCGATTCGGTTTTTTTTTTTTTTTTCGGTGTTTTTATACATTTCTAATTTCGCTATAACTCAATATGACTATTTGTGGCTTTAAAAAAATTTATTTTCATAAAACATGGGATTTTTTAATTTTTGTTCTTTTTCGTAAAACATGAGGCTATCGATTATTCCAGCTATAGGCGATATATGCAGTCTGGTTTCGTTGCATGAAACTGCGTGAGACCTTATACCGGGTGGTCCGTGACACGTGTGACATGCGTGAACTAACGGGAGACACGCGTATTTACCATGGTGTCAGTTGGACAATTTCTTTGACTAAACGATACGGTTTTATTATACGCATGTAATATCGCGCAACGACAATACGATACGCATTTTACGCAATTTCAGATATACGCATATAACTTACTGACGTTACTTGTACGTACAAGGTACCAAGAGACGCTGTTTCTTGTTGCCTTTATTCCCTATGGTATTCACGGAAGGTTTCCAGCATCGACATAAACATGTCCAACGATCAGGTTTATGGAACGTTTATGCCTCTGATAAATATTACGTGAAAGGATCGAGACTCCTTTTAAGAAATCCACGTTAAATTAGGCAACTGCGTGCATTTAATTACGATAGATTAAAACGCGCGTGCCACTATTCTTGCCTGAAATCGTCGTTTCCTCCGTATGAAACTCCATTTTGAATATTACAAAAAAAAATTGGAAAATTGTTTCAAAAGTTTGAAAAAAAATGTTTGGTCTTTTCATTTTTTTATCTGACCAAGATTAGGTAATTCAGAAATTTCCTAGATGTCATCTCTACTTGGGAAAAGTCAGTAGGAAATTCAGTTACCCCACGTGGTAAATATACTTTATTATCGTTTGATACTTGTGCGCGAAAATGACTTGGTAATGACAGTACACGTAGAGCAATGTAAACCGTTACGTTTCTTCCTGCCTATCTATGTCTCAGCTGCCCGCCACGTGATGGATTGCACGCTTAGTATTTTACTTTCCTAATTGAAAAGCATCCCCGAGTTATTAATGAGCTCTAGAGGTTCGTCTCTGGTTTCTAGTCCGAGCCGTTTCCGCCACGCAAGTCCCAACGAGGCCTTGGATCTCGATACGATAAAGATTGAGTGGCATGATTTTCAAAGAGTCCCGCGCCGCCATTACGGCTTACGCAAACGGAATAAGGATCGATCACACGTACTAAGCAAGTTGAACAAAAAATGACGCACAATGACTCACCCTTTGTTTCAGGACGTACTTACAACGACTTGAATCAGTATCCGGTGTTCCCTTGGGTACTTACCAACTACGAGACCAAGGAACTCGATCTTAGTCTGCCAAGCAATTACAGAGACCTGTCCAAGGTACGGTTGGTCAGCTTGGTTACATTTTATGTGTAAAATCAGGTTCTATAAAGTTTCAAATTTTTTTTCTTTATTTATCTTTCAGCCAATAGGCGCTCTTAATCCGAGTCGAAGGGCGTATTTCGAAGAACGTTTTCAGACCTGGGAACATGACAGCATTCCGCCATTCCATTATGGGACCCATTACTCCACTGCTGCGTTCGTTTTGAATTGGCTGATTCGCGTGGTGAGTATATATATATATATATATATATATGTATATACAGTACAGTTTGTTATAGCTTTCCGAACGCTTTCTAACGTGGGAACGTGAAAACTGGTAAAAACCGCAGGACGCTTTCCAAATGACGCTTCGACTATCTTTAGCATCTCGGCCATTATCGTTTAAAACGATGCCAGTGGCACTTCGTAGTTGGTTGGTTTATCTTGAGTTCGGTGACAGTCAACCGGCGCTACATACTTTTCGAGTCTTTTGTTAAGTAGCCGCGCCATTTACAGCCCGTAAATTTCAACGATACAGTTTAGAGGCGCGTTTACACTAATTCGGAGGCGTTTCGACGTTCCCGACGCACGACACTGTTATATATATATATCCGTCTCGTGGCGCTTCTGTCGTCGCTTTAAAATTTTCGTCGAAGTAAATTGAAAACGCACCGCTTGACTTACCCGACGGATACAATTCGTCAAATTGGGCGCTGTCGAGCCTTTTAAAAGGGCCTGAAGTGACTCTCGGTAATGGCTACTACGTATGTATAAATGATTACGGAACTTTGGAAACGTAAATAACCCAAAAGGGACTCTCCGAGGAACGTTAAGATGTTGACGTTTCGGGTGGCACACTTTGACGTCAAGATGGCAGCACGGGTGGCCACTTGCGAACATTCGTCAGTCTGTCCGCTATGGACGCTCGACTGACTAGCGATGAAAGCGCTTTGTGACCCGAGGAACGCGGACAAAGTGTATACTATAAAGTGTCGCTAAGTGGGCCACTTGAAGATGCGCCGCCCTTTATGCGCTTTTCTGGGTATGGTCCCTCAAGTACCGATTCTTGACGAAAGCACGTAAATTCGGTCCATTCGTACCGACCGATACGTGAATGAAGATCGGCAGTTACGGAGTCTTTTTTTTTTAGATGCTTTCAAAATCATTCGATCGATTCCTTATTGCAGGAACCTATGACCACGATGTTCCTGGCGCTTCAGGGTGGCAAGTTCGATCATCCAAACAGACTCTTTTCCTCCTTGGCACTTTCCTGGAAGAATTGTCAGCGCGACACTTCGGACGTGAAGGTTTGTCACGCTAATAATAAGTATGGAACAGGGTCAAAAGGGATTTATATAGCACGCGTATGGTGCATCCACTTAGTTCTGACTCTGGAACAAATAGTCTACTTCTACGGTGAGAATTTATAGCTGGCCTACTGGAATATATCGTTCTGTCGTCGACAGGAACTCATCCCGGAATTCTTCTTCCTGCCGGAAATGCTAGTGAACACCAACCGCTACCGCTTAGGTAGGCAAGAAGATGGCAGCGCCGTAGGTGACGTAGAGCTACCACCGTGGGCATCGTCTCCTGAAGAATTTATACGAATCAATAGAATGGTAAAAAAAATGATTAATTAAAATTCAAATCAATTATCTAATTTTTTACGATCTCGCTTAATTAAAATGTAAATAATCCCTGTTACAGGCTCTGGAGTCTGAATTTGTCTCCTGTCAGTTACATCAATGGATCGACCTGATCTTCGGTTATAAACAAAGAGGTAAATTTTGGTGTTCGCTTATGAAATTTGGCTAACGATACTTCACGACAGGAAGTAGATTAACATTGAACTTGCGGATAATGGAACGCGTCCCAGCTCAACGTTGCTGAGTCGTGGCTGGTTGCTGTCGGTACACATAAGTCAGATTGCATTAAATTCTCACTGATGGTAATTGACGGTGGCGCCTCTATATCCGGCGCTTCTACGAAGATGCAGCTCGCACGAGGGATAGAAGGACTCGTGCGCGTATGGAAGGAATTAGTTTTTAGTTAGCTTCCTTTCGACCCGAGTCCCGACCAATTAGGCACGTGTGTGAAGGCGCGACAATGCGTCTCGTGCGTAATACGTAACACGTTTACAGTGCTGCGACGGGAATAGCGTGGAAGAGATATCGGAAGAAAATTCATCTGAAAAATTTGAGACTATAATTATAAATAGGAATTATGCGAATTTAGTAATTAAAAAAAAATTTTATCCCTCATACCACAGGTCCGGAAGCTGTACGAGCTACGAACGTCTTCTATTATCTTACTTACGAAGGAAGCGTGGAATTGGATTCTATTACGGATCCTGTGATGAAGGAAGCAATTGAAAATCAAATACGCAATTTCGGGCAGACGCCTTCACAGCTTCTGATGGAGCCTCATCCTCCAAGAAGCTCGGCGATGCATCTGGTAAAATTCAATGAGAAATATATATCTCAATTATCTTGGTAAACGTGTGGTGTGTCATTTTAAGATGAAATGTTATTTTATAATTTTGCATTGTTTTTTATGCAGTCTCCAATGATGTTCTCAAGCATTCCCGATGACGTGTGCATGACGATTAAGTTCCCATCGAATTCACCAATTTGTCATATTTCGGCTAATACTTATCCCCAACTACCATTGCCTTCGGTTGTCACTGTCACGACTGGTCAGCAATTTGCTGTCAATCGATGGAATACCAATTATGCGGGTAAGCTTTTAATAGAATAATAGAGAATTTTCTAATTATAATATTCATACAATTAATTGTTGCTGTCATTAACATTTTAGCATCAGTACAATCGCCCAGCTATGCAGACACACCTCAGACACAGTCTGTCAATCAGCCACTGTCAATGGATCCTGTACTATGTAAGCATCTCGACGTAATCTGAGTATCAATGACAGTTTTGTATTCCTAATTTATATCTCTTATCAATACAATTTCTTGTGGTAGCTCAAACAGCCAACAGCTCGAATCCAACACTGCGCAGACATTTAGGTGACAATTTCAGTCAGAAATTGAAAATTCGCAGCAACTGTTTTGTCACTACAGTGGACAGTCGTTTCCTGGTAGCTTGCGGATTCTGGGACAACAGTTTCCGGGTGTTCTCAACGGAAACAGGTGAACCTTTAGAAATATTCCCTTTTTTTGAGAGTCAAGGTAAAGATAATACAGGAACAGATATAAGGGGACAATTCTTTTTTAAATAATTAATGTACAGTTAATATATCTTTTGAAGCACAGTATGTGGTAGTAGGTGGCTTGAAGTCCGTGGTGCCATCGTATATTTTGTGCCGGAAATGTCCTGAAAATTTACGAGGCGCCAGTAATAATGCCACACATGTAAATTACATGGGTATAGAAATCTAAAAAAGTACGTTTGTTCTACAACGTTGTATTTCCTTTCGAATACTTATGGCACGCACTGTGCATTTAAACCATTGAATTATTCTTACATATTTTATTTTACATTTCTCTGAAAAGTTTATTTCCGGTGACAGAGACATCGATCAATTTAAAAAAAAAAGGAAGTGTTAGGAATTCCCAATTTAATCCTACTTCCGTTTTTATTTCTTTATATAATAATAATTAACCTCTTCTTAAATCTCACAGCAAAAATAGTACAGATCGTCTTTGGCCACTACGGAGTTGTAACGTGCTTGTCACGAAGTGAATGCAACATCACTTCCGATTGTTATATCGCTTCCGGAAGTGCGGATTGCACAGTCCTACTGTGGCACTGGAACGCGAGGACCCAGACCATCGTCGGTGAGGGTGAAGCACCAGCACCTCGTGCGACTCTTACAGGTCACGAGCAACCAGTTACCACAGTTGTCATTTCTGCTGAACTTGGACTCGTCGTTTCCGGTTCTTACTGTACGTGATTACTTTCATACCCTATTTTAACCTGTAATTTTTTGTATATATGAAAATCGAAGTTTCATTCACAAATCATTGATTTTAGACGGTCCAGTTTTGGTCCACACGACTTTCGGTGACTTGCTGAGATCTCTCGAAGCACCTAGTGGATTCTCGTCGCCGGAAAATATTGCCATGTCCCGCGAAGGGGTGATCGTAGTTAATTACGAACGCGGACACATCGCTGCATTTACTATAAATGGAAAACGCTTACGTCACGAGTCTCACAATGATAATCTTCAAGTGAGTCGCCGGTGCATTTGAAATTGGAGTGGAAAAAAATAGATTTTTGTTAGTCGCGATAGTAATTTTTATTCTTTTTTCTACAGTGCTTACTGTTGAGCAGAGACGGCGAGTACTTGATGACAGGCGGAGACAAAGGAATAGTCGAGGTCTGGCGAACATTCAATTTGGCCTTGCTTTATGCATTCCCTGCCTGTGAGAGCAGCGTGCGCTCTCTGGCGTTATCTCACGATCAAAAGTAAGTAAACGCATCCCTGGCCGATCGATGATTATCGAGAATGCATTGTTTTTTCATCTAAACTGTCGGTAAAGTCATTTTCCCTGTTACACCGTGCATCGTGGGTTCATGATAACCGAATCGTTTGGCGTTCGGTATTTCAGGTTTCTCCTTGCTGGATTGGCCAATGGTTCCATGGTAATATTCCATATTGACTTTAATCGATGGCATCACGAATTTCAACAGCGCTATTGAAACTACGACTATCGTCTCGTCCGGTAATGCATCAGGCACTCTAGGATCATCCCCTCGAGATCCACGTGAGAGAACAATAAACTGAATACGGTACATCCTGCAAGAGCCTTAAGAGAATGCAGTGCTTCCCCAAAGGAAAGCTGATGAATTAACGTTACGGGATCGTAATATAATAAAAGAAATAAAAAATATTCGTGTGACCGACCGTTGCCGAAGATCTCGTACCGACTGTATCACCGGTCGGTAATGTCGGTCCGAACAGATCGTCGCCATTACGTGTTAATTAGGATGAATTTTATGGGCATTTATGGTACTCAATTACTAAATAATTGTCAAAGTTATGTCGAGGTATACCGGAAATTGGAAATGAGAGTGTGTACGTGTAACTGTGTGCGTGAATTATTATTTTGCAAGGGCAAACAAAAAACTATAAAATTCACGTTCCTCAAGGACGTGAATTTTGCACAGTACTTAAATTAGGCAGAACCTAAAAAAGAACTGGTGCGAGTATATTATTCGGCCATGATCTCCCGATACTGGTATTACAATAGATTACGAGTCACGCTCGTACGACGATAAGTCATCATTTGGTGACTGTCATAATAATAATAATGCGTCCGGTCGTATTTGCTTGTTCGATGCCGATGCAATGCGCTTTGAAATTCATAAGCAAATTGCTGAGCGATAAAACAAGCGACGGACTCACTGGGATTTGATGTCTTCGAATTTTTCTGAGAAGCAAGCAAATCGAAGTGAAAGAAGAAAAATGAAGATAAAAATAATAACAATATCGTTAGTAGCGAGTACAGGCTTAAATATGTAACAAGTAAACACAACGCTAGTCAATTATGGAGACTTGGATCTATCTACGTTGCGAATTTTAAAAGGCTTGCAATTACATACGAGGAATAAGACGACGATAAAGATTAAGGCACAGGAGGAAGAAAGGTATCAGCGAGAATTGAGAGGGATGCTGGGATTGAGATACGATACGGCCAGGAGAAGGAGGAAGATAAAAAATTGAAAAACAGAAACGATAATCGTAAAGAAAAGAGATAAAAAATAAAAAAAAGTCGCAAAGAGATGCCAAACTGTGCGTAACTTATTTTTATTCATCGACGAACGTGGGTTTGGCGAATATTTGTGTTAGCGTGTTCTGTGTAAATACGATAATCTTCTATGTTGTACAATATTACATACATTAATCATTACCTTCGTGAATATAACCGTGCGTTTACCGTATTGCACTACTTCTGCGCCGATTAATTACTATATATACATACTATATTATCATATATATGTATTTACCGCTCGTTACAATTTCTCACTATGAACACTAATTGTAGACTTCAGTTTTGATCACGGCCGGTGACGTCATTACGTAACCGGACACTTGTAACGCGACTTTGTAAAATTCTCTGATACACCCGTCACTAAGTCCCCGCAGCCCTTAAACTTCGCGTCCTTTAAAAAGATCCTAATTTCATCAAAGCCGTCCAGCTTAACTTTGTGAGGATATTACTTAATATTTTCGCATGCGAGATATAATAATCGGATTAAAAAAGAAAAAATTAAAAAAATGTTAGCGAGCGAAAGACGCCCGAGTGAGAATGTTGGAGAAATTGGAAAAAGAGAGTGAGAGAACGAAAGAGTGAGAGAAAAGTAAATCTAAGTATAATGAAACAAAGAATTAAGTAAACCAATTAGGATGGCATCGTGAATTTAATCGTTGATTCTCTGTGAGTCTGTAGAAAAATATTCAGTGGGGTTGCAAATGACGCGAGAGTGTGATGGCGAATAAATGTGCAATAATGAATGAAAAAGATTTCATTATAGCAGCGAAAAGTTAATAAAAATAAATAATCGATTGCGTTTAAAGTTTCGTTATAACAATCAAGACGGATTTGAATTGGTATCAATCTTTTGTACGGTGTTATAATTGATGATTTATCATTGACTGTAACGAAATTGATCAATTCAATTTTTTTTTTACGTATTATATGATTGGTACTTTTGCATAATTTGAAATCAATTGTATCTCAAGTATCAATAACTCCATGGAAATTATTCATAGCAATTGTTGATCTACTTGCTGAGTTTTTCTTTAAAAAAATTGATTTCACGTGAATTGGACGAATTAGAGTGGGCACGTGTGGGAATGAGAGAATGTAAAGGAATGAGCGAATGTGCGGTGGACACGTGTACGAGTAATTAGAATAGGCGAAAAAAGATATTAAACAAAAATTTGAAAAAGTTGGAGCCATAAGTACGTGTCAATGATGCGTTACAGTTAGCGCTATTTAGTGTATTGTGTAAAACGCTGCGTAAATTTGTAACTACAACGTTAATCGATTTTCAACAAAAGTCATAAACGAAATTTAGATATTTGTATTGAGACTCGCGCGGCTGCATTTCAGGAATTAAAGTGCATAAATGAAATTACGGGAAAATAAAAAAAAAATCGATAGTCACAGCTGTAACCATTAATTGACCGTTCTTAACTCTTGCGCGCACAAGATTGGTGCACCTAGTCAAGGTTCTGCGAATCGTGTTAAAAAAAAAACATATTCGTAGTCTAACTCTGTTGCGGACACAGTTACATAAATACACCCATTATTACATATAGGGTAACTGCATGGAGTCATCATTTTCAAATCTGAGCTTGCGAATCACAATGAAACTCAATTAATCTGCACCGCTATTCGAATTAAATCATGTTTTCTTGGCGCATGTTATTTATCAATTTATATGCATAACATAGAAAATTGTGCAGTGTGAATTATGTAAGAGGCTATTGATAGTAAGGACGCATGCGTAATGTCCGATGATGTCCGATGTCCATTCGATGGAAAAAATGTTTCTGGTAAAAAAAAAACCAAAAAAATAAAATCGTGTGAAAGTATAAAAGAGAGTGAAGAGTGTCAAGAAGATAAAAATATGGAAGGGGATAAATTTAAAAAAAAAGGGATAAATGTGCAAATGTAAATTTGCAAATAAGAATGTGTGAGAACGGTGCCTGTTACTCCCACAGTAATTTTTCTTTGCAAATGTAAAGTTGTCTCATTATTAATATATGTAATGTGTGTACTTACCGTGTACTTGCTGTACAGATGCGCCGTATCGTTATTTTATTTTCGCAACAATGATTAAAAAAAAAGTGTTAACGATAAGGAAGCGAGATAAAGAAGAAAATGAACAGAATGACAAAAAAAAAACGAAATTTCTTGGGAAAAAGCATTCAATCAGGTGATTCTTCGTGGAGGCGGATGACGGCGATATGGGCTTCGTTAAAAATGAAAAATACTTAGAAAAAAAATTGAAGAGCAAAGCGGAACGTATTACGTCATCCGGGAAACGTAATCGTAATCGCGTGCGCGCATGCGCACTACTTTGAATTGGCGCCAAGCAGTGAACGCCTGCCAGAGTTTTTATATATGTTTATAGATGTGAATGCTGCGTTTTCAAGCAAGTTGTTAGTGAATTCCCTCCATATTGCTAAAAAAAAAAGAAGTTAAATCAATTTCTGTCCGAACTTTAAAACTTCAGTATAAAGTAATGCTACTATTTTAAATAACGCTAAGTACAACGCTACGAGAGTTTGCCTATATTATTACTACAATTTAATTATAATATAAATAATACAATTACGAAAACCATAGATTTGTATATTCGATGAGTAAGCACATCAATGTTTACGTGTGAAGTAACTTTACTTACCCGCAATTACAATAAACGCGAAAATAAACTGTGTAAAGTTTCATCCGATTTGTTGAAACACGAATGAAAATCTGCCCATTGTGAGTAACGCCTAGGTTTACACTGACGGATACATCTAATGTTTATAAGCGTATAAAATTATGGGAAAATAAAATACACGGAAATAAAGTGCTAAAAATAATATTACTCTACACTTAAGCGCTTACTTGATATAATAAATAGACTCGTCTGATTTTGGGGGCAGGGCAGCTGGTTCATTCGATTGCATAAATAAAGGTGACACTGGAACTGATTGTAAATTTCGAAGCAGAGAGCGACACGAACCAAACCTAACCTAACCTAACCTAACGTAAATCCGAATATTGGCGTTATTATTGAATCCCTTTAAAGTTATGAATCAAGACAAGCTTATGAAAATCAAACGAAGGAGACATCACGGAAAGAATTATTATTGAATATTCTTTAAATTATTATCTGTCGCTCGTGTGTACTGGTCTTTGGGTTTTATGTCACTGTATGAAATTAAAATGGACTGCAAAGTCGTATGAATCTCTCGTGAAGATTCCGACTACCAAAAAGAAAACTGAAACTGAGAAAACTTTTAGAAAATTGCGCAAATACTGTCGAGCAACTGAAATTCAAAATGGCCTAATTTTAAATTAACAATAACCGCGATGGACTTTTGCACGTGGAATTACTTCGGGAATGCAATTTGTATGTCGATGCATCGTGGGGTTTTTAACTCCGTAGAGTTACGGTGATTTTGTTGGAAAGTATTCAGGAGAGATTACCACAGATGGCAGTCATGGACCGGTGTAAAGCAGGTTTTCAGATCAATAATTAAAGTTCCCGTCACTTTTATCGAAGTACTACCAGATAGAAGTACTTAAGTCGTTGCTATTTAACAACATAAGCTCTATTGCTTATTTTATACTTAGAATTATCGTAAAAATTTTGAATAGGCATAACGTAATGGGAAAATTGTATCCTAGGATAAGGGTAGATTAATAATGTAAAAATAAGTAGTAAAATAAATGAAAAGTACATTTGAATTTCAAGTTAATTGCAATCATTAAAAATCTTCCGACTAATTGAATATAATTCCATTAAATATACAAATTTCACGAAAAGTTGTCTTTTATTTGCAGTTATTTGAAGAAAAAAAAGGTAAACGAAAAATATTTCAATCTTCGTACAGATAATTCAAATAATTTCAATTGGCGTATTGCAATTAATGATAACAATTTTGATTTTAGGATTTATTTGTAGCAATGTCAAAATAATCCAACGACATATTCCATTACCATGTTATGTAATATTGATTTATTTTCTTTCACAATCACATTGGGACATTGTATGCCCAAATACAGAATAGATGTTTATTTATTAGAAAAGTATATATTATCGATACTGAGACTTCCGCAGTTCAATCCATTAGTTACTTGCTACTGTTGTATTTTTTTAATTGGAGCAGGCCTTCGGCAAGGTGAGCATTGAAACCTAACGTATATCATACTGATCGAATCGCCGTCATTTTTATATCTATCTATCCATCGAGCATTACTGATATGTGAAAGTCTTATGTATATCGTGCCCATGTAACATACTGGCCATACACTTAGAATATAATGTATCGGACTAAATCTAATGGACACTAAGCTTATTATGTATCTTTAATTACTTTTTTTTTCTATAATTCAATTTTATCTATACAATTTCTATGCGAATGCTAAATTGCTACAGGCGTCTTCGTACTCCATTACCGTTTATGTGAATTCTATTCCATACACTTCAATTTATTTTCAAGTAGCATTTTTCAATTTTTTTCTCTCACAAATATACACTGATTGAGTTATCAGTTTTCGCTTGGATAATAAAGTTAAGTGAAGTTCCTCCGAAGTTTTACTTTTTCATGATACAGTCAAAAAAAGGTTATCAATAAAAATAACGGGAATGTCACTTGTATAGATTATTACATCTGCCGCAATTGCGCAATTGAAAAATAATTATTATCACTAACTTAATTACCACTATCGAACATACGTCCAATACATGATACTCTACGCGAACTATTCTTCGATTATGTTAGCTGAGAACTTGTAATACATATCCAGTTTTCATAATTATTCAAATGACGTCACTTTTCGAAATGGTTTACTTATGATTATATAAAACGAGTTTGAACAACTTTATTCTGAAACAAAAGTTTAATATACGAGATTGAAAAGTCTCGATAAAGTAATTTTCGAAATTTCTTTTTCTTTCAAGTTTCATCATTTTACAGCCCGAAAACTTATACTCATCAGCTAACATAAATTTGCTCGGATATTCAATATTATATTCTACACTTGTGGATAATTTAATAATATAACTATTTAATCACGCCGATCCGATTCCTGCTCCAATTAAGAAGCAAGTAAAAAGAATGTTACAACGAAGGTACGACTTTTTGAATTTACTAATTTCAAGTAGGTATTCGTCTCTACATCGAACTACTTGGGACAGCTTATCGTCAGCCTGAAGGACAGTCGATTAAAGTCTTACACGAATAATTAAGTTTGCTTTTCATCGAGTAACATCGCCAACAATCAATTACGCATTGGTTGAAGCTCGTTTCGTTACGACTTCAGGATTTAATAATGAAGTGCAATCGCACTGATTGCAAAGTAATTTCAAGTGTGAAATTACAATATGCATTAATGCAGATTGTAAATCATTAATTCACAGTTCAAATTCGTATTATCCACACGCTAAATTGCACGATAGGACAACGTGTAACTTTTATAGATATTTCTTTTCAATTATCAAATACGCACGCATTTTATAACTTAAAACTCTTATAAAGCCGAAACAGCTCATAGATTATTACGTAAATTCGAATTTAGGATATTTTACACAAATATTTTCAAAATTTAACGGAATTAAGGAATTTTACGTCAACCGTCAAAACTATTTCTAGGTTTCTTTTCGGACATAGAAATCATGTTTTTAATCATCGTTGTCCAATCTTGTTCTTATACAATGTCTTAGATTCGAAAATTCTTTCGATTCAAATATGTATTTTTTACCACACTTTTCGCATTCCTCTCCTTCTCGAACAACTTCCTAGATTACATTGCTAGTATAGATATTCTGTACATATAACTTGCTTCTTAGGTTTTTCTCTATTCATTTTTTTTCTCATTCTCTAGATTACTTATAATATCGTACATTATTATCAACTTCCTTTAGATCGAATTTTTGAGTTTACCGTGTATATAGGGAGAGAATTTTTCGTTAATTTTTCCTGTGAAATTCATGATAAAATTTACCGTAGAAACCAGTAATCGTGGGACATCGTTACCATTTCATTACTTATTGCTTATAGTTATAACCCACGATATTTTCAGTGGTTACAAGTAAATTTTACAGTGAACACGGTAAATATTGTTATTTGCAATTTTTACTACGTTCCATAGTAAAATTTACCTGGATCAATGTAAAATTGTATATCTTTTTACAACTAAAAAATCTAACTTAAATAACCAAAAACTGATGAAGTGATAACGTATAGTGTTATTTAGGAACATTGCATCAGCTGAAATTAGCTCATACATTCGTTCTCTACGGTAGAAGACTGTTCAACAAACCTAAATTTATTAACCTGAATTATACTTTTCGAATACTTATTTATAATGCTCTGCACCTATATGAGAGAATAACTAAAATAAATAAATATGAATTAAACAACAATTTATTAAATTAATACCTCTTCCTAACAACAAATTAACTATCATTGCTTATATGCACCGAACGTGTAACAACCAAACCATACATTTGTAAAACGTATAAAAAGTCACAATGTTTTTCGTGGTTAACTTCAAAGGTATAAAAAGTAATGCATTCCACGGTAAAGTTAAATGTAGCGCACGAGATAATTCGGCTTATTTAGTTGGCTTTAAATTCAACAAGATAAAGACTATAGTTTTACATTAAATATTTTCAAATTTCGAAATTTTTACCGTACACTTCAGTAAAAACTGCCATGTTATGCTTACTTTTTAGTATATTTTCGCGAATTGCTCTTAAATATATAGGGTAATATGTTATGAAATACCACGATGTCCCGTAATTACCGTGATTTTCATAGAAACTTTTAATGAAAAATTCTCTCCGTTTAAGTGTACAAAGCAGCAACGGTTGCACAATGTCGAAATCACACTGTATAACGTTATCCGTTTAATATTCCGTATATTATATCACAAAGAGAGCCATCTTCTTTTTTTTTCTTTTTTATTTCAGGACTTGATAACATTTATCTCGTGAATACAATATTTGCATAGAAGTTGGACTCCAGATAGCAAGCGTGAAACAGTTAACGCCAAATCGTCTATTGCGTCATCCTTAATCATATATGTGGAAAAAAAATTAATCTTCATAAACACTACCGACATCTTCAACAAAGATTTTTCGTCATTTATTGTCCTCTCGATTCTGGTACGACTCGTATGCTTCCAAACCTATATATTCTATACAGTCGTAGATAATAACTTTTCTGAATAATTAATTCATCAAAATTTTCCCATGGAATGTTTTTTAATTGACCAATGAATCTTTTTATTTCCCGTACAAAGCATCACACTAGTTTCTATCGATTTAGAAAATTTGTGAAAATTATTTCTCATATACTTTCCGTATTTATTTCTCTGTTGAAACTTTCATCAAAACTGATAAATTCCATTGATTATGATTTTATTTATAATTTTGATAATACACTGAACAAAATTTACATCGAAATTCACACTCAGTATTGTGTACCGTTAGTTTACATCGTAATACACCTGGCTACTCTACGTCTTTGAATCGATAAAATAAAAAGAAAAATTTATATTATGTATGAGGGAACTCTTTTCTTTCATACGTATTTGCAATCGACCAGAGTACATATACCTGTAATGGTTAAAACGCTTTCATAGATATTCAACGCCTATCGCACTGACATATCTATGATCTACATTCAGTACACGTGCTTTTGTTAATTATCCAAAATACCCAAAGGTACTGTTTCACCATTTTCATTAGTTTATCCAATATAGATATTAAGGCTTTTCGACAGTTTTAAGAGTAATATTCCAAAACCTAATATATTCGATCACTTGACATAACCATTCCTGATCTCAGTGTTAACGATCAATTAAAACCCGAAGGAAAAGTAATTCGCTACAGTTGATCCCTGTAATATTCAAAACCTGCGAAAAAAACTTCAAATTTTCATTCTCACCCACAGTACAGTGGCAAAACGTAGGACACATCATGAATAACCACATAACGATCCAGTGCCGCCATCTCTCGTTAACCGTTCTACGCTTGTCCACGAGTTTCCAAAAGCACAGATCCACGTAAAATCTGTCGATCTTCAAGACGTAGGTTGTACTTAAGTCAGTCAAGCAGTGTGCATAAAGTGACAGAAGAGGGACGTACGCCTAGTCAACGTCCAATAGAATTCGCGAGCTTCTGCATTCTCTGCACCGGGTGTATTGCCTTCATCTAAATTGAAACATATCGTGCATAACTTTCATTCTCAGTCATAAAAAGAGAAAGTAAAGAAAAATGTAAATAAAAAAAGACCGAATATATCCATTGTCCTCGATTCTTCAGAATTTTAATTTTTTCAGACTATTTTTATTTTATCATCAGCTCATGCCATAATTTATAGGTAAATATCGATCACGTCGTCATGCATCGTCGTACGAACAATCAATTCTTCACAATTACCTCTACCGATGAAAAATATTCAAGAGAACGGTAACTCACCTGCTATTCAAGCAGCTGAGGCTCACTGGAAGTGGTTCCGAGGTGACCGCTGGAATGTGGCCAGCAACAGTCTCCAGAAGTGGATACCACTGAGCCACTGGTTTCCTTGGATTGTCCAGCATTTCCAGCCAGTGATCTCGACCGATACCAATAAAACTGGAGCCTATCGCTGTGCAGCCCATGAGCTCGTTCGATCCGATTCTGAAGAGAAGGTTGGTGTGAATACAAGGTGTAGAATTAAAAGACGTGAAAGCGATCTTAACTAGATCGACCAAGACTTGAAACGCGAAACGAGCTACGTGAGGCATTCAGGATAAGAAAGGCTCGGCCAATTTTTTTCTTGCTTTAACCTTAATAAATACCTTATAATATACACTGTGTAATGAAACGGAAGAATAGTGTTGTTTTACACTGGTACCTGTCATAGTCAATCACTTTCACTATGAGGCTGACTTCCTCGACGTTGTCAGCGGGAACGTCGAACACCAGTGCTTCGTTGTAGACGGGGCACAATGTATTTTTCTTGACGGTTGTTTTCTTCTTCTTTATTCGCTTACCTTGGCAGAGTAGGTAGACTTTCACGTAAGGATCTGTGGGATTGTAGATGAACGTTATCAGCAGAAGGGTTACTGTGGGTAGCTGTCGGATGAAAATGTTACTATATGGTGCAGAGTAGCGTTAATAAATAAACGGGGATATTTAAACGGATTAATTAAAGGTTCGCACCGGCTAATGACAGACCTGTACCGGATGGTTTAATCTTACATGACGCGTGAAACCGTCTTGTGTTATAAGGTAATTGAATTAGGGGGATTTACTCTTTGGTTCCTACTGTAACTATAGTAGACCTTATGGTATTTACGGATGTCAATTAATGCGAAATTTCAAAATGCGCAGCCCGATTATGCAATTATAATGAAGTTAAATATTACCAGAAGAGCCTGTTATATCCATGGCTTTAAGATTTCTCGCCTTAATCACTGTTAACGTTAGACGGCCCGCTGTTGGTAAATAGCAGAGGGATAGCATCAATTCGCCTAAATCCACCTTTTCCTGAAAGAAATATTTTGAATTTTCAGTATGAAAAATTGCATATATTACATAAAACAATATAATTCCTATTTTCTTATTTTTCTGATAACTTCTCACCTGTAACGCGCATAGGATATCCATTGTGTATTCAATTTCTTGCTCCAGATCGGTACAGTCCAGCAGTCCTTTTAAAACCACCTGACCAATCAGATCGTGGCGAGAAAATCGATCAAAATCGTAAACCGAAAATTGTAGGTAACGTTCACGTAAATCGTCGTACGGTACACTGAAATTTATACATAAAAAATATAATATTATAGATCATATGACTAAAATAGTATTATTACTTTTATAAATAATCTTATATTTATCAGCATTAATTTGCATAAGAAAAAATTGATTTGCACTAACCTGAAGATAAAAGTCTCGTTAAAAATTGGATTCAAATTCTTGCGATGCACTTTCGTTTGAAATTTCTTCTTTCTGTCGGGCAACAGATAAACCTTAACGTAAGGATCGCTGCTACCAGTCACATCCTTTATGGGCAATTCACGAGCTTCTAGTACCTGTTAACAAAAAAAATAATTTGCAAATACGGATTATTACAGCTGTCTATAAATTTGATTTCGCAAAATCCATTTTATGCATACTAGAATGCTCGTATCGAATATTAATTAGAATATTTATATTAGCCTCGTTGAACGGTTCATGAAATTCGCGAGTGTGCATACTAATTTATGGCACGCCTGGCGAATACAATTTTGCAAAACAAAATGAGGAAAATATACTTGTAAACTTTTTTTTTACCCAAAAGCTACTAAAATTTTTCTGAAAGTTGACTTTCGGTAAATTTCGACAGATAAACCATAACTACTAATAGAGGATACATGCTTTATGAAACTCTGACAATGCTTACTTAAAATGAATATTTTTGGTAATAACCTATTCATTCATTGTTAATAAGACTTCGAAAAAATAATTAAAGGAAATTACGATAATAAAATTTCACATAAGTATCGATGTGCTTTTTCCTTACTTTCGAATTAAAAATTTTTAAACATTACAAATGTCACCAATTCTTCAGCGGATTAAAACAGCTACCGAAAAGTGATCAATTTTAACCTTAAAAAATGCAGCCAAAACAAATTCGCTAGGGATATAGTAATATGAATATCCCATTGCCTCTCAATACGTAACCAAATAATAACTCGTTAATTTTTCAACTGTCAGCATTATCCTTTGCCAATAATAATCGGAATCAAATAATCAATACATACTGCTATTCTAATCCCATGTACAAAGTTAGGTACCTATAATGGTTATTAATATGTAACAGATGTTGCCATTGAACTGCTTCCCATTGTTACCTAACATAATACACAATGCACATTTCACGTTACATTGCAACAACAAGGTACGTCGTTACATATTACATACAATAATTATTCCAGTGAAAATTATTCAAAATAATAGAGTTTTCGATATATCAGAAAATCACACGATGCTGTGGTCACAAAATAAAATATTCTCGTTCGAAGGTAATCACAGTCTGTGTTTAAAATTCAATTGGGCAATTATTCGCAATTCCAGATTGACTAGACTTTTCCCGAAATAAAGTAGGAAATTGGAAGACTTTGTCAGCGGGATAACAACCGTATTACACGTCTCGTTAAATTGTGTAATCGGTCACAGTTCACGAATGGTTGAAGTTCCATAGAACTGAAGGGTGAAAGTACGCCAAACCCCTTTTACACGGTACCCGTAAATTATCTCTAGCAAAGCGCACAATCCCGTTTGAGCTCCACGAAATAATAGGGATCGATCGTGACTAAGATTTGAATTTTGGAATCTGTACGGAGGCCATTTCTATAATAACATATAATATATTCCTTGAATAGTGCTATGAACTATATCGGTACAGGTTTTGATTATAGCACATACTATAGAACAATATAGATGCACATGCTCATACAAATTCATATTGCATTTGACGTTCATCTCAAACGGTATAGCTTTAAAGCCGCCATTGAGGCTAGTTCGCAAATATCGGTTGCAGTTAACTCAACCATTCGACATTGTCATATAACGAGAACGACGTGTTCAATCAAATTTCATCACGTGTAAAGTTAATTGATAATCGACGTGCGTTATACCATAGAGAAAGTTGCTTTTAAAATTGATGAATATTTTTTTAAGCAATGATAAGCTAAATATACTTTATGTGTATACAGCTTTGTTATAATCGAGACTAAAAGCTAAAAGCTGTATATTCAATTTCATCGTTTAAGAATTTAAAGAGTATGGAGGAATATAGGAGTAATAATAGTAATAGTAACAATAATGAAGATGATGACTTTTACGTGCTAAACTTACCTTAACAACGAGGCCCTCTATCTCCTTATCGTAACGAAGCGCGAAGTGTAACTTTCCAGCATATTCCATTTCTACGGTACTTGAACTTTCAGTACTTCCCTGTCGCACAAGATCTTTTTTGTACAGTTCCGGCTGAAAGACGTATTCATTATATACATATACATAAGATAATAGTCATGACAGTTCGGTAACCTATTACAAAGTCGCGGAGTAGCCGATATGGCTCTTGTTTGTATAACTTCCCAGAATTCCCCTTTAAGTTCTACTAAACGAGAACAATTGTATTCATCTTTGCGTACCTTGATAAGACCAAGACTCGAATCGCTACGATTCTCCAAACTGCAGATACTAAACTTGATATTTGGCAAGTCGAGACGATGTGACAGTTGTCGCTGAAAGGTCTGATGTCTCATGGGAACTATCGGTAGCGTCGTCTGCCTTAGCACCTGAGGGCGCGAAATTGAAATTGTAAAGCGTAAACGGATGAAATTAAAAATATATACATATTTGTGAATTTTTTAAAGTATCTCGCTAAGGACTATTCCCTAAAATACTTTTTCTTACCTTCTTACTGTCTTTTTGCTCTTGCACGTACTCATGAGTAATTGGCTCTGATTGAAGATCCGGCAACGAATGACTGATACGTATTGCATTCTGCTGCGAGAGGTCACCGTCGGCGTCGTCGTCGTTTTCCTGCCTTGCGACGCCCATGAGCCATTTCCATGTAGCTGAGCATTGAAAACTCACAGCAGCAAGAAGTACAAGAGCCATTAGTGCTCCGCCAGTTCCTATTAGAAGCTGATAAGGAAAGCTCTCACTCCACTCTTCTGTAATGCGAAACTTTCGTTGGAGCTTGTGTGCTTTCATCTTACTGAACTTAAATCCTATAGATGAATAAGGCTGCGCCATAAGTTATGGACGGTCACCAATCACGTTTGACTTGTGAGAAAAGTTTCAAGTTCGTCCAGCTGCAGCTAGTAGGCGTTACTGTCGAACGATTTTCACGCATACGATTGGTCTTCTATGTCATCAATTGTTAACGACTACAGAGCACAGTCTCTATGTATGATTTGAAGATGGTCGTTGATCATTGATAATTTATGTTCTATCCCTAACTGGCATGTCTTGATGGTCTCTAATAATTCATAAGTGTTAAGGTACGTTCCCTTTGTTAAACATCCTTGCTATATCAAGGGCTCATTTCAATATCGTTATAATAGACGACGATTCGATAATGGATAACCACACATTGTGGTTTGATAAAATTTCTGTTTGTTAGGTAGGAACTAATTAATGTTGATATTGGAGAAATATCTTGGGGATCTAGATTGATATTAGCCTTGATACGGAATAAATGTATGCTTCCTTAATATTAAGATCTTAAAATTGATATTGGAGAGTGTATAATTGCGTCTGTCCCGTTTCCCACAATTTCACATTGTTTGCATTTCATTTCGAGTTACGACGCTGACTTTGCAATGGAGGATATATTTACGTAAGTAGGAATTATACTTGTAGTCAATTTACTTTGCACTCCGGTTGGGAGGCACAAAGCTTTGTGTATGTTTTCTGTCGCAAGAATGCGTTGGTCTCGAGAGCTGGTCATTTTCGAGAAAATTCTTCGTCGTATACTAATTCGCAGGAAAATGGATTCGCGTAATTGTCGCACACTTTCTGAAAATTGATTAAGGAACGTTCTGCGTTGTTATGAGAAATAGGGCAATAAATTATTTTTCACGTTATACTCATTGTTAAGTAGGTATTATAACGTTTCGATATTCGGAATACGTGCAGCGACGATGATAATAAGTTTCTAAATGGTTGACGATTTATCACCTTCATGGAGGATCTTGTACCCATCATCTATATTTATAAGAAGATACGAACAATTTATCCAAAGACTAATATTCCTACTAAAGAAATATATTCTTTAAGTTTCATAGATCGACGTCATTTCGAGCTTGCTCATTTCAATTTGAAGTTGCTGCTGCTTTTATTTATATTGAAATTATATTTATGTGCACTTACTGTACTCAACTGTTACTGATAGATGCAGTGGACCAGTAAGAACCCAGTCACACTCGTCAAACGTGAAACGTGAATATGTATCACAACGTGAATTCCTCTGGAGGCGTTATACCATTGGTCGACAGTCTACGTTCCAAAGCGAATTTGACGAATGTGACTGGGCCCTAAGTCCCCATAACTGGCAAGCTCTTCGTACAGGGTTAAACGGTAAATGCATCAGTTGAAGTTGGGCGCAATTGAGTAAATCCGTTAATCGACGCAATGCCACCTTGATAAATAATTGAAAGATTTTGAAGCTCATGATGTTAATAATATTATATTAATTTTTTTTTATAATATAACGCTACTGTGATTAATGAAATCATCTATTTCTGACCAACTTTGACTGCTGCGCTTGCCCCAAATAACCCTGTATGTGATGGTTGAGAGAATTAATAAGGCCTTCAAATTTTCATGTTATAATATGATTTCAAAACCATTTTATACCCCAAATTCTTAACAAATATCTGATAACTTGTACCGTCTATTCTTACTAATTCAGTCTTACGATGGTTAGGATCATAATGCGTGGTATAGGAAAGATTCGTTTCAAAATTAGTTTGCATATAAATATTCGCAAGCTGACGTACGTAATTGTGCAATTGGTTGCGGGACTTCGTTAGGACAACTTCTTGCTTAGTCAAAAAAAAAACTAAATACCGTCGTTTCATAAGCCAAGTTGCTTGTACGCATCTGTTTCTGTGACGTTGTAATTTCTTATGACTATACGTGATTTCGAACTTTGCGAATACCTCATATTAGTGGCGTATAATAACTAGTTGAGAAAGTTTCTTAATTAAGACTCCGTTTCTTATTAGGAACCAACTTTCTTGATAGTTCTCATTGAGATTGTCCCTCTTTTCTTTGATCTCGAAAACAAATTACTTCAATCCTATCCAAAGGTCATTTAATACCTCAACAATAAAAAATACAAAAAAGAAAGAGGATAAAAAATAGTATAAAATTTGTAAAAAAGAAAAATTTACAAAAATTATTAATACCGACGGCATTTACCTATTTCTCAGGGGACTGCGGGTTTTTCGTATTAACAAAAAGTCTACCTACGCTCTGGTCCCTCTACAATTTGCATTTTCAACATTAATTTTAATGTAATCACATAGTTTTTCTTTTTTCACAAGGCCACCGTTTAAATTTAATGTGCACCGGCACATTCGCAATCGGTTACATGAATATTAAAATTCTCCTACCTCTTGTCCTTCCGCGTTTCTGTTCATTCGAGCATAGAAATAGAACTCTGAGCAATAGCAAAATTAAAACCTTTTTAAATCAAATTGAAATCTATTTTATAAAAGCCAGTTATAAATTTCTTATTCAATTCATACCCAACATCCTCCGCCCATCTGAGCCCAGAGATATCCAAAGTATAGTTTCACGTTAACATCCTGCTAGAATCCTCGATGACTTTCGGAATAGTTACGCAATCTCGCTAGCGGTATGCAAACGAAGCCAATGGAACGTAGTTGAAGGTAACTTAAGATAATTCAGCCCACCGCACAACCCATACACAATTACTTTCTTGGTCAGGAATTACTCGAACGTCCTACGTTCGGAGAGAAAGGCGCGATTGCATTCTTAGGTTCGAGCCAAGAAAGAAATCATAGATACATACATATGCATGCAGCTAAGGAATACGTAGTCACTTTTGTCATACATATTAACATGACCAAAGAAACCATACAGGTTTTCTGTGCATAAAATAAACAGAATTCCACTGGTACAAGATTCCGGTCTATACCCTCAGTTATCTTTGATTAGAATAATTAATTTATTAAAACAAATTTATATTACGTTTTATAAGTACTGTACTAATATTTTTTACCATGTAATAATAATTACGTAATATGGCTGTAATAAAATTTTTAACAAGCACAAGAAATCCCGGTACGACGTTTACGTCGTCTTATCCCGATATATCCCACAATCTCTATCACCGTATCCCCAGGGATTTCTTCCTTGATAGCGCTAACAGTTTGAGTCTGGTAATCCTGCGCAACTGCCAGGGCGGCTTCCTCGGCCAACTCCGGAGGAGCAGCTGCAACCGCAGCTTCCGCAGCTACGATCATCTCTGTAAAACGTGCCGTCTCCTCGGCCTTTATCAACTTCTCGACGGCTTCAGCAAGCTCATCGTCCTGGTTCAGGTTCATTTGCTCCAATACGTCTATGTTGCTCATACTGCTCGCCAGGGTTTTTGAGATTGATCGAAGTGGTCGCTGAGTACCTGGTGCGCCAGTCTCGGGTGAAGTGGCTTCGTCGGCGCTGGAACCGTCGGATGCTGCGTCATGGACCCTATGGTCCCAGACCAGACATTTTTTTTTGACAAACAGAGATCTATAGCGGCAGTAACTTTTTTTTTGCTACCGGCTGGTGGAGTAAATTTTGCTTCTTTTTTTTGGATTTACGCTTTTTAAATTGGGTAGCTCGAACGTCTGAATTTATGATTTAAAGGATTCTACAGGAACTTTTCTCAAATTTGTTTTTCGAGCCTTTCTAAATTTTTGGAATTTTTTCTCCTGGGAATCAAAATTATAAAATATTTAAGGTTTTCTTAGGGTTTGCGATGAAGCAGTAGAGAATCGATAAAAATCGAATTTTTCAAAAATGCTTTTGTAATGAAAAAAATACGTTACTCAGAAGAGGAAGCTCCTGTTGATAACTGTACTTCATCATAATTTGCTTTTCTAAAAGTTATTTTTGAGCTACGAATATTGTTTCAACGGTATGAAAGGATTATACGCTCGAGCGTAGACTTTATGAATATTCAAAATTCCAAATAATACCAAATCCTCTATAACATACCTACGTTCCTCAAGTTTTGCGTTCACCATTTTGTCGAATCGTTCCAATATCGATTCGCCACCCTTTTTACTACGTTTCCTCGATTTCCGGGGTCCTCTCTCCGTGTCCCTGACCTTTTCCGGTTGCGTTGGAAACAGAATTATCGACGGTGGTTTACGCTCCATATTTAAGCACAGATTTCCTCTCTGCCTTTACGCAAAATTTTATAACCTTCTTCGGCACACTTTTTTCCTCATAAGAAATGAACAAACGAAAGCCATCGAAAATCGAAATTCTTTTGTCTCCATGCAGTACAAAAACGGAATACCAAAATCCCTCTGTCTCCCCAGAGTATAAGACACATAAAACCGAATGGGAAAAAGCAATTTCGAATTCGTTCCAAACTCTTCCAACTTTTACGTAAATTTTTCCAACGGTATATCAAACGTTAGGTATCATTCTTATAAAGATTCTCAATATTATGAATAAAGATGATTAAAAAAAAAAAATATTACAATATTATTCATGTATAATACAGAAAAATATATTTCTCTCTCCTTCCATTTCCTCTTTCTATTTCTCTGTCTCTCTGTTCATCCTCATTATTTCATGACCATGATCTTCAATTTGTATTACGATTCCAAACGAGCGCAATTCAAAAACAGTTCAATAATGAGCGCTGCCGTGCACCCATCAGCACATGTTACACGAAGGAGACCAATGATACCACAGCCAATGCAGACAGCTGCGAATCCTCGATCACAAAATGTCCCTCAGCCGATTAAACGTGTCCAGAGCGAGTACAGAAGGTGCTGATAATAATCCAAGCCCTTCCAGCCGTCCTGCCAATTCCGAACCGTCTACTAGGAGACTAACTATTTCGGAGAACGAAACACAGTTCAACGAATCAAATTTTGTACCATGGCGAATTTTTGTAAATCAACTGGACAGTTACCATGGAAAAAAACTAGCGGACGTAAGTCCCCCAGTCAAGTCTCACGGATGGTATCGCTAGCATTTAATTAGAGTCCAATTACTACATAGCAGGTTGACACTTTGATGATTATAATAACGCTTGCAGCATCACCTTCACAGCTGATTAGAATCTAGGTTATGATTCTATAACGAGCTTGTTCAACTTATGAAATCTCGTAAACTCCGTATTGGAGCAAGTTCTTGAATCGAGTCACTCGATATCGGTCCTAGTGTACGATGGATGTTACTCAAAATTTGGCTAAAATTTCGTAAATTTTAATTTACAGTTTTTGCCGGAACAACTATACCTTGACAAGGGTAAGTCGAGCGACGGGTTGGACGAGGCTGAAGATGAAGACGAAGAGGAGACGGAAGAGGTGGAGGATGAGGATGAAAAATTCAACGTCCCCACCAAGGGCTCCAACGAATCCCCAAGGAACTTTCAAGTGATTGGTACAGTCATGGATCGGGAGGTATATAACACCATAAACGTTTTAGTCTGATCAGAGTATCACATCTGCTTCCAGCTTGAATTGATGGTTAGGATTAGGTTAGGATAGAATGTAAAACAGGATTAATACTTGCTCTTTTTTTTCCACAGATTCGCCAACCCGAGGACGTAACGATGATAATTAGACATCCCAGTAATCGTGAATCGTACCTAAAGGAGTTGATGAAATGTGGAATAATCATCTTCGACGTGACCCTGGACAATAATGAAATTGATGAGGCTCGATGGGCTTTCGAAGGTTAGGTCAGGTATCACGTGAAAGCACAGAAATCTTGCTCCTTCGAAGTCAAGTTCATGGAGTCGAGAGTTATTCAGTTGGTACGACTTGTCGAGTTCGGCACGCAGCCAAGATGGCAGAGTCCGACACGTATCTTGGCGCGTTTGGCAAACCTAATGTAATCCGTTTAATTTTCTTCGTGGCCAAGAGCGAATTTTTAAGCACTGGGTTGCGCGAGCCAATTGTACCTGGACGTGTCGCGAATCTAATCAGTTAGGGAAAAACCGTCTATGACTTTGCCTGCAGTGTAGCGTGACGTCTGAATTATTCGGATCAATTCACGAAGAGCAAATACTTTTCGCAGACGCTTTCGTCCACTCGAGGACGCAAACAACTTTGGTGTCGTTTTACGTTTATAGGAGTCTTTCTCCTTTGTTGGGTTTCAGCTGTTGCCAAAGAATTGGAGAAGATAGCGGAGAATACGCCAAAGGCTTTTAAGCGTATAGAGGACGTGCGTTACTTCATTCTGATTTCAAGCGTGATGACTTGGAGCTTGACGAAACCTTTGGACCCGGAAGATCCCGAGTTACCATTTACGGAAGTGAATTATAGGAAACGCAAGGCTCATCCTAACTTCAAGGAGCATATTCAGCTCGAGAAGGACGTATTGGCTGCAAACAAAAATCCTGCACTGAAGGACAAATTCAAAACAATTGTACTATGCTCTGGCATTACCTATGGCGACGAGCAGGATATCCTTCATTATCTGTTCAAAATGGCCTGGGAAAATAGTACCGAGTTACCAATTTTTGGCAAGGGTCGGAACAAGATCCCGTTGTTGCACGTGCGCGATCTGGTTACGTAAGTGACTGAGCTGTTCTGATCGTCTGTTGGAGCCTGGGTCTCTGGTAGGCTGTTAAACTGATATTTTGAGTGGGATGTGCAAATTCGAAAGCAGGTGTTTGCTTTGAGTTATCACTTAAACGAAAGAGGATATCGAGCGATTAGGTTAGATCAGTAATTATGTACAAAGCTTAATTTGTGTCTATATTCACGGTATAGCGTGTACCTAAATTGAGCCGTAATCGTTATTCATCATTAGTCCTGATTAACGCGTTCTGTTACAGCACTGTCTATATGCTTATACGGAAGTGGCCATCTCTGAAATATATCGTAGCTGTGGAGCAGGAACTTATTTCACAAAGAACGATTGTCAAAGTGCTTAATTATTATTAATACGTTGAAATAGTTATGGCTAACTTGACGTTTGACAATCAATTTTCTAAATAATATTTATGTATTATTTTACAGAGAATCGCCAGAGCATTGTCAACCGGGAAAGTCAAGCACATCGTCCAAGAGGAGGCCTTTCTATTGCCTGACGTTAATCAGCGTAACTACGACGCGATGACAATTAATTTGCGTATCGAACCGGCTTATATAATCAATCAGAATATCAGCTGGAATTACGAAATGCCGTTCAAGAATAACATGGCAGCTATAGTTAAGGAATACAAGATGGCGCGTAATCTCCATCCCATTAAAATAATCGTTCTTGGGCCGCCAGCTGCGGGAAAGACGCGTATTGCTCATCAACTCGCTAACCATTATCGTATACCTTACGTGTTCGTAAAGACACTGATAACGGATACCATACAAAAATTAGTAAGTTGTAAAAAAGTTTTTCAGTCGTAAATTCATTAACATCTATCTTATTGCCTTAGAGGAATAATTTGTAAAAACTGAAGAAAAAAAGTGTGGTCAGGTTAGGTTTAATTAATCGAGAAAATTTGATTTCGTACGAAATTCATATTGGACATCCAAAACGTAATAAAGTTGTAAAGTATTGTAATAAAGATGCGCCATTTACTTAGGCGAACGAAGTGGAAATTGCGAGAAGCAGGAAGGTGGCGGAGGAAGTGTCGCAACAGGATAAAGTCAAAGAAAATCCGAGTGAAAGTCCTGATGAGGATCAGGTGGATGAGGAGGAGGAGGAGGAGGAGGAAGAAGACAATGACGAAGATGAGATCCCAGATGTGGAAAGTCTGCAAGAGGAGCTAAATGAGATGCGAAACAATCTTGCACATAATAATGGACGTCTCAGTGATGATATTCTGAACAAGTTATTATCCACCATATTATTATTATTATTATTATTATTATTATTATTCAGTTCCTTTACCACCCGTGATGTATTAACCGTTACGAAAGTGACGGTAGGGGGTGAATTCGATTAAGATATATTAGGCTGTTGGTGAATGCGTGACAGAACGCGGGAAAATTTGAATAATCGTAACTCGCACAAATATGTATTCACAAATGATGCTGGGATTCGTGAATTTGAAGTGGGGAATGAAATTTTTGTTGGACGGCGAGGGTTGAAGGGGAAAAAGGGAGGGGAAATCCCTTTGTGCTTTCGGTGATTTGTAATTCGCCAAAATTCGCGTTACTTGATATTTATGTGGAATCTATTACGTGGAGACGATCCACTTGGTTTTTGGAGGTTTTACCAAATTTCTTATAACAGTATACATTAATGGTCGTTGTATGAATTTAGAATTTTTTTCAAACGACTCTTGGCGAAAGATTGCCAAAATCAAGGTTACGTTATCGACGGATATCCAAAAACGTTGGAACAGGCGAAAAGTCTATTTGGTATTGCGAACGACGACGAACCTGAAGCCGTAGACGACGAGGAGGAAGAAGACGAGGTCGCCATGTTGGGTGGAAATACTAAAATTATGCCGGAGTTCGTGATAGCGCTTGAAGCATGTGATGAATTTTTGATAGAACGTCTTATTAATCGTCCCGAGAAGGAAATTCAAAATACACATTACACGGAGGAGCATATGATGCGCAGACTGTTGGAATATAGGTAATTCATTTATGATAATAAATAATAAATAAGGTTCCAAGTTTCTTGAAATTTCGTTAAGACATTCAAAGCGCAATTTTACAGTATATTTAATTGCGGCGTAAACCGATATTAAACAAGTAGCATGTCTTTTGCATTTTCAAATATCGAATATTAAAAATGTAGATTAAAAAATTGCAGTCCGATAACAAACAAAACGTTACTTCTCAAATGAATTTCGTTGACGTTAAATTTTCATCAAAAACCATAATTCTACCTTTGATGTTATTTTTCTCTTTTTACTATCTCTTTTTACTCTTACAGTCATGTCGTTACTCATGAATTATTTCTTCCAGACAAAGAAATACCGAAGACAATACTCCTTTGGAATTCTTCGACGAACTCGATATCCATCCTCTTATCATATCAATCGAGAACGAAACCTGTCCGGATATGTTCGAAACATTTGTTAGATGCATTAAAAAAATCGGCAAGCCCCGAAATTACGGTAAACAATAAATCAAGAATTAATATAATATAATAAAAAAGAAAATAATTTTCAGTCGTTAACGAGAAATTATCTATAATTTATATTGTCCTCTTTATTCGTATTTCTTCTGTTTGCTTACTTTATTCTTCTTTTTATACACTTCCCTTGTATTCTATCCGTTATATCTCCCATATGAATGCATGGATTCCTTGGTACAAGAACGTTATCATTTCTATTCCCATTTAATCAGGGCCGAGCGCAAAAGAAGTAGCGGATGCTAGAAAACGTACAGATTCGGAAGCATTTGCAGCTGCTACTATCCAGCGAGAGAGAGAAGCCATCGAAGATTTTGCACGTAGGAGGGAAAGAGAGGAAAAGATGATGGAGTGGGTAAGTGGCTTATCGTACCCACAATAAAACGATACGACACGTGTAGCGTTATGTTGTGAACTCGCCTTATACCATCTTCATTGGTTATTTCAAACATTCTCAAACTGTATGAAATTCCTTTGCCAGAAAATCTTTGATAAAAGAACGAATCCCATGAATACGTTGCTATAGAATACAGTCGATGTAATCACATTCATTTATAATCGTGTGTATCGAGTATAACGTGTTGATAAGGTTCATGCGGAAAAGGCTTATCAATCAATATGATGGATGTATATGAAAGATAGAAGTAAAAAAAAATATTTTTTATTTTGAGTCATTTTCAATATAGATATTGAAGAGATATCGTAATTGGAATATTATAGCATTTTATAATCGATTTTGATAATCGATGGTTTCTTTGAAGTAAAATTACTGTGTAATCATCATAATTAGGTTAACAATAGATTGAGTAGATAAATTGAAAATTATAACGTAGAACTATGTGAATACGGTGAAAGGCGGTTTGCACTTTTTCATAAATATCAGAAATGTGGATGATCGTTTATTAAATGAATTGTCAGATCTATTTACTTTTTATCGGATGATCGATGGAATGTACTTTTGAGGCGTTCGTGTACATAAATGTATCAGATAAGCAATGTTCTATACCATCTGCCATCAAAGATTTTTACAATTTTGTATGAATATTAAAAAATCATATTGGCAAAAATTTGATAATTTTTCTTAATTTATTTTTATTAAAATTTGGTCAAACAAATTTTTTTTACGTTAGATTCGAGTTTGGAACAAATTTTTTTCTATTAATCGTTAATAATTTCTTATTGCGTCACAGTAATAATATAGTACATTATCATCCATCGTTGACGACTTTGTTCGATATTAATGTTCATAAATATAAACACTATCCCGAAGTAGGGAAAACATGTTATGCCGAATACATATTATATGATAACTACGCAGTAGAATATTTGTAAATTTCGTGGAAACTTTGATCGGTTACGTGTTTTCAAGAAATTGGATTCAAGTTATTGGTACGTTTTCATTTCTGTTAAATCGTTATCAATGATACATTTTCATACAAATTTTGTTTTTACTATCAGTTATCTCACAGAGGATGTCGTTTTCCAAATACTCATATGACGTTTCAAATTAAATATTGTTTAAATTCAACGAGTTTCCTTCCAAATGGAAAATCGTTTATGTTACAATCTAGATAAAAATTAGACATAGTTGTTTAGGTTTCATTCACACTGTTCTGCACAATATGCCGCTATGGTATCGCCTTACCAAATTTGCTAAGTTTGAACACATCGTTTCCTAGGAATTGTAAAAGAAGCTGATATCCGTATATACACATATCTATATATTGCCTGTGCTTTTTCATATACAATATTTGCAATCAGTAACTTACTTGTAAATAGCAAACTTGTTCGTTACCTACACTTTTTTCCAAAGATAATACGTGGCAAATCAATGGAAATCAATGGTAATTGATGGGAAACCATTCATCACCTTTGTTAAAAGAATTGGCATTGGGAAATTTTGTTATGGTTAGTTGTCATGACAGGAAAAAAGAGCAATGGTACTTCTGATATATGTATATGTATACGTAAATATGAAATTGAAAATTCCGATTTCCTTCATCAGTACACAAGATTTTATATAATAAAAAAAAAAGCTCTCTGATACGTCTAATCAGCTTATGCTTCCACCCTTGCGAAAATCCTAACATTGAAAGGATATGACGTTTCATTAAGACTCCCATCTTTTTAATGTCTTTTACTTGTTTCTCCTTAGCCATAAAAAAAATTACTTTGACACACTAACAGACCTTAAAGTCAAAATAGAGTTTAAACTCATATAACGGGGAAACTCAAATAGCACATATTTGACTTATTTTACAACTAACAAATAACATTCTACACAAAAGAGATATTTGACGCCTGGCTTATAATTCATTATGAGGAATGTAAAGTTCTTATCAAGATTCAGCGAGGCCAATGACGTTATCATTGATGGGGGTAATCGATTTCATTTCTGTCGATCTGGTCAGCGGATATCAAAAGCCCGCGAAGGAAACAAACATTAAACTCATTGCTGATCGAATTTTCGAAATCAGCAATAACCAAGACTTGGCGCAATTTTCAAAATTAATTTTCTCCGTTAATACTAATTGATAAATATGAATTTTTAATTCGATTAGTAATTCACCATATTGTTGACTTTTCGTAATCAATCGGATAACGATATTTATCGTATTTTAAATGAATTTAACGAATGTTATCATAATCAAATAATAATTATCATTCATTGTTATTTTCGATTTAGACGAATTTACTAGAAAAATTAAAAGAGGAAGAAGAGGAACAGTTATGCATTTTGGGAGAGCCTTTGCGTAATTATTTAATGAAATATGTATTTCCGACTTTGACCCAAGGACTCATAGAAGTGGCCAAGTTACGACCAGAAGACCCAGTTGACTTTCTGGCAAGTAAATATTTAATTTACCTCGTTTCAAATTAGTTTATTCACTGGTATTCTCTACATAGCGTTATATCATCTTATCAAGTGGATTCTATATTTCCAAATTTTATTTTATTTTTGTTTACATCCAATCCTTATCTATATAATTCGTATCAATCTTCCTTATTAAACCACAAGAACGATTTTTCATTTAAGACCCGATGATACTCAATAGAAATTTTTTTATCTCAAAATAAGAAAAGTCTACTTATTAAAAGTCATTGTTATGCAAATCTTTTTTTTTCAAAAATTCTCAAAACTATTTATTTCAGCGGTATTCGTATCAATAATACATGGATAAGATATTGTAAGTGTGTTGAGTAAAAATCGATTCAAATTAAACCACTTTTATGCGGCAATATTCGACGAATGTACTTGACATTGTATTATGTTCATATCATAATGACACTTTATCATGTCAAAGTTCACATAGACGTATCCATGGATCCATGTTAATGACGATATTTTTATGGACCTACATATTTCTTTGTGAGAAAAAAATTTTTTACGAGGTAATAGCGGGTCTCCTGTATTATATAATTCATGCGTTGACGACCCCTTCTTATTAAGTTTATACGCAACATGAGTACCATTTATTATTTCAGAATAGTTCTAAGCCCTGGGAATATTAGGTATAACGTTAAGAACACTTTGCGCAGTCCAAAAGTTTTCGCTGAATAAATTTCCAGGCATAAGACAATATATGCTCTAGGATATGCAAAAACTTTATTTTTCAAAATTCTGGAACGAAAATATGTCATACATTTTCGTGATGATTATATAAGTTGATGAATTTGTCTTCGTCCTGGTTTAATATTCCCAAAAAAATAGGGGAGTAATAAATTCATTTTCAACAAAGATTTAACCATGTACAATTTATGTATGTTTATCCAGCTCTGACCTACAATACAATATTTAGGTTGAAAAAATGCTAATAAATATTATAAACAATGTAAAAGGGTTTTTCACTGTCAAGTTATGCATAAATATATATATATTTTTATTTGATTTTATTTCGTCAAAATCAAAATTCGATATTAGTAGGTTCATCGCGTGAAAGGTACTAAAAATATTTCCTGCCCTTTTATCGTGAATGGTATAACATCCTTTTGCCATTTTTTTAATTCGAAAATTTTTTATTTCGATAAATATGATGAAAAATTATGAAAATGCAATTTTTTTTGAAATCCAACAATTCAATGACTGTTTTCATACCTGCAGTCGATTTTGGGAATCAGCAAACCAAATATTCTTCAGAGCTTATTGTTTACCTGGAAATATCGATTTGGACAATTTATTATACAAAGCTTCGGTAAATTTGTTCAAGTGAATATGGATAGTATGGATTTCGTGGAAACAACAGTTTCGCATTCCCAGCAGACTTAATCATATCGTGTTGTCGTATTTTCCAATACAATTCGTTTCCTACCCAATATTCATCATCATTCATTCGTAATGGAAAAAGAGAAATTCAAAAGCAACGTAGAATTTCTATTTGTTCTCCTTTCTGTCGCAACCACAATCGCTGCACTTTTCTATGGACGACATACACATATATACATTAACAGTTCGCCAAGTTGATTGAAAAAGTACTAAAAATAGTTACTTTACTTAACTTCTTCAAAATTTCTTTTTCAAACATTTTTTATTCCTACATTTTTTTAAACACTGAATTAAATTAATCAATGGGAATGCAAATCAAGAAGAGATTGTTGTTATAGACAAGATGTAAATTATTTTTTAAGGGGATAGATCTATTATAAATACAAGGCCTAAAAATGAAATGCAGAATTTGCAGAGTTTATAAAATTACTGAAAAAACCTTTTCCTGGAATTCTCTTTGGGCTTGTCGATTAATTAAAATCAAAATCCAGTTGACGTTTCTCTCTAGCCCCAACGAATAATACATAGTGCGTAGAATTATTTTCGTTGATTTACGGCAATGTTTATGCTTTATAGGTCCACACGTCACGTATCACGTATCGCGTAAAGATGAGTGAAAAATAAGTGAAGCTATAGTTACTCTGTTAAAAGCTATTGTCTTTTATAATAGACGATAATGGTTTCGACTTTGCCTATCTGTACATAAATATATATATGTATAATAGTCCATTGCCCGCACATACTTCTGTATATGTATACATATAATTCTGGGGTTGGGCTATTTTGGAGACGATTTGACTTAGGCAATGGTTACTTTGAGAACATGTGGCTGTTTTCAGGTCTTTCCTCGAAGAATTTTCAGAGTAGCGTCTGTTTTGAGGATTATAAAGCGGGTTGTCACACCAAAATTGTTCCAATTTTTTCAATGCTAGACACGTACAGTTGTGATGAGGTTAGAAAAAATTTCGTTGGGTTAGGATGGAGTAGAATTTCAACGCTGTGATGTCCCAAGGTAGTAATTTTAAAAAAACGCATCAGCTCGCTATTGTGAACGTCGCTTTATGGTACTCCGTCTCGACTGAATTTTGTAAAATAAGAAAATATCACGTACTTCTTCAGTATAGGACTAATCCTGTCGTATAACGAAACGCGATTTAAAAATATTTAATAAAGTAAATCCCCCATAACGGAAGCCTTATATAATTTTGCAAAAAGCAGCTGGCAAGGAGTCACCCTTAGGAAAATCTATTTTTCTTATCAATTTGATGCTCCCTCACGTGAACGAGCATAATATTGCCAGGATCAAGTAAACGCCTTTACCATAGAAATCCGTCCTTTTGAAACGTGACTTTATACCTTTGTTTAAGTTTGCTATACTATGTGTACTTAGGGCGGGACAATTCTGGAGATTTGAAAAACCACTGCGGTGGCTCATTTGGTTTTGATTTGATTACACAGGATTATTCAGAAGTATTGCACCACCTAAAGATGGTTCTACCGTAGGCATTTATGGAATCAAACAGACGCGCTAACTTCAAGTCGTGTAACAGTCCGGAATAACCGCGTGCATATAAACTTCACAGCAATACTCTTGACAATTATTCTACACTTATAAACAATAATTCCCGCTGAGGTTACGTCCTTATGTCACAGTACAGAATTCTGTTGCGTCCAATTTACGTAAGTCTGACAGGAGGAGCTTATGTTACCTACATCAAAAAGCTTGATGGTAGAGCACAGTGTATTTCGAGTATACAAAGCAAAGTGGGGTCTGCGGGTTTATGAAGTACACGAACAAAGCTGAATTACGTTCAATTATTTGTTCGGTCTACGTAGACATGAATTCTATATAATACACGTGTGCGTATATATACATATAACGATATAGATATATTCTATGGTTAAACCTTGTGTGCATGGGACTTAGATAAACAAGATATTTCATACGCTGCCATATCTGAAAATGATAATACAAGTGGGGAAAATTTTATACATGCCTCAACGTTTTACATAATTTCATTCAAATTGCTTACATTTCTGATTCCGTTATTCCGTTCAAATTGAACTTGAACGAATTTCAGAATTTTCAGAATTGCCAAAACAATTTAATGGAATACTTATCCCATGTTGTGTGGATCGAGATAACGTAAACATATAACATGACTTTTACCTGGCATAAACATACGTGCCAATTCGTACGTCAGACAGTGACATTAGATATATCGACGTATCGATTTGTTTGTTCATAACTGCTAAATTGATTTGATATTGAGCGATAAGTTTATTATACGAGTCAATCGAGTTCTAATTAAATATCGAAATTTGATTGTATAATCATGATGGTTTATTACATCATTTTTTTTTTTACCAATATCGTAATTGCCTCCATTCGCTTTTGCTATTTAATTTGAGTAATTAGGTATGATCAAAGGGTATCGACGAACTGGAAGGAAGTGTTTCGCGGAGAAACAAAAGTCAAGAAAGTAGGTTACGGTCGATTTTGATATTCTGCAATAATGACGAGTCGACGAATTACAAAAATTTAAAGAAAATTACGGAAATCATGATTTTACCTTATTTGTATGCAATGTATATGGACGTTCGGTGGAATAAAGATAGAAATTCTACGTGATCAAAGGTGTTTGACAAAGTTACGTAATCACCATGACGATGATGGGTTTTCTTCATTTATAAATGATAAGACGATGATTAGGGGCAGGGGAAGGCTTTCAGGGTTGCCATTAGCGTATTTGCTATGTAGATGCCGCATTTTCGTGGAAATGTTCTTACGTGATGATATCCTAATTATACCTTCCTCTCACCCCTCCCAACCCCTCCGCTAAATAGAAACCTTTTTTTCAGGCGGAATTCCTGTTCAAAGAAAATCCTGAGGGAAAAATGTTTGAACCTGATTACACAGAGACTATGAGCATGCTTATGGATGCCATAGAGCGTCTTCAGCGAGACATTCTACCCTGTGATCAGTTAGACAAAGACCTGAAGAAGTACTTGAAGGTAGAGCCGGATTCTGAGGTCGACTTCAATGAGGAGGATGGACAACAATTCAAAGAGGAGAGTACACTCTCTATATGTAAGCAGCCATATTTTTCTGAGGAGTCTGAAGGATTTTCCTACATGGAGGATTCGGAAGGGAGGGCTACGTGAGCCTGTGTGATCTTCTTGTAAGCGTCATTAAAGATTATGTATACCTGTTCAAAGGATCTACTGCGGATTATATTTAACCCTTTCATTTAAGCGTGACTACCTCAAAGTACCAAAATATTTTTACCACCCACGTTTTCATTATAAAAAAAAATTTGAAAAAATTATTTTGAAATATTTTACCCGGTTCGAAGTTTAATAGCCATTTTTTTTCAATAATGTCCGTTGTGCACCCTATGCTCATATGATGTATACGCATAGAGAGTTAAAAATACGTAGCTATTTGTGTTTTGAGATTTTCTATGGGGAAAGAGCTTTCCGCGCAATGACCTTTCAACGTGACTGTACCTCTACCGTAGTAAAGTCGATTATCAGCAACGTACTGGGTTCGTTGCGCTCTCGCCCTTGAAGTTCTGCGAGGCCCACCTATTCGGGAGAGACAGGCTGGGGAAAAGCACGTACTCTATAAATAAAAGGAACTTTGTCTCAGGTCGAAGGAGCCTCTTCTTTTCGCGCGGCTCCCTTTTTTTTTGTATCCAATAAAATACTCAGGCGCAAAATTTGGGACTTTGACAGATGGAGTGCTTCTCTGAGTAGTGTCTACTTTCGTATGTATCTTTGGGTTTCGTTAGGTTGTACAAGGTAAAACTATATGTCGATATTTTAGCGATTGGGGTGACATCTGTATGATCCTGACCGTAACGTCACCTTGACCTCCGGGGCACGCGTCATGAGGGATAATAAAATGTCGGATTGTAAGAATCCAACTTGTAACCATGTTTTTTTTTCCTTTTTCGGTACTGATAGATCATTTATTAATAACGATACAAGCTTTTGTGTAACTTAGCTAAAAAATTTATTTCTTTATCTCGACGGTTTTCCAAGCTTTTATTTCTTTAGTATTATATTTGTTGATACACTTGGAATAGTTTTCATTGGATCCAAAAGATTTATGCTTTTATGAGGATGAATGGATCGTTAAGATCAGATTACGCTTGATTGATGAAGCTGAGATATTCAATAATCATACAGAAATTCTAAATTTTGTCAGATTCAATGGTTTCCAGTTCGAAAATTGTTTGAACGTGTAGGAAATAAAACGAAATTTGTATTTGACGTGGTTCAATCTAAAAAATACAATTTTTTAGTAAAAAAAATTATTGACTCTGTTTTTGCTTCTTCAATCTTATTAAAATTCTGCACAATTGTCGCAATACAGTTTTGAGGGAGTTTTTATTTCGCAATGGCTACGTCATTACATTTTTCGTTGTGTCTTATAATACAATGATTATTGGATCACCTTGAAATTTCGCCTAAAAGATTTCCTATTGTTTCAAAATTCATGTTTGTTAAATCTAAATTTCAAATTTGAGCACGACCTGGTACATTCTGAAGGTATATCTTGAAATACTAATTTGAGGAAATTAAACGCAGCCTATTGTAAAAACTATAATCGTCATATAGTTTTTAATGAAGATACGCATAACGCAATACATCAGTGTACAAAGCATAACACTGGAGATGTGTTCTAAAATGTCTATCATTAGTGCAGGGTAAATACGAGCTGAGTTTCGAGTTACCCTGCCGTAAACTTCCTCCGCTTGTTCCATTTAAATGTGCAGATTCAACAAACGGCACTTCTGGTTAAAGGCGCATGCTTATGATTTGCCGCTTCCGACATACCATGAATTTAATATCGAGCCGGTGAGACTCTTATGGGCCAAGGTCGAAGTTGTTCTATTGTTCCATTATCTCGGAGAAAATTCATCATTTTACAGAACGTTTGAAAAAATTATATCGCTGGATTCGACTTTCATTAAAGATTAAAAGAGTTCATCGTTACGTACAAGATTTATTTTATAGCAATTACGAGAACGTATCGAGCATAGAAAAAATAAGTCTTTTTGATAATTACAATTGTTTAACCCAAAAACAATCGCAATCGGACATTTTATATCGTTATAGAAAACCAAAATATTCTTTTTTGCATTTATGTAGAATTGCCGAAATTTCTTAATTTTTGTTTAACGTAAAATAATATTTAACTATCAGTACAAAATTATTTTTTATTGAATACTGAATTGTTATAATCACGATCAATTATTTGCTTATCACAGTAGAGTTGAGGAAAATTTTATTTAATATTATTTTCATTACTGGTATATTTAAAAAAATGAAATTCACGCTTGAATTTTGAAGAAAAAAAGAAACATTCTTGCATCGTTCGTCGAGTCTCACGTGTGAATTTCACTGGAATTCGTTAATTTTACGAGTGCATTCGTTGAACGCAAAAAAACAAAACTTCATATCAAAACGCGAACACGAAACGCGATACCTATATTTGCAGTTGTTAAAAATACCCGCGTAACATCGAGAAACCATGAAATTCCTATGAAACATAAATACATATAGCGTGCCCGGAAAAAATAAAACGCACCCCCCCAAGTCAAGCTCATCGCCATTCCAAGAGAACCCCCTCGAAACTGGTCCAAGGTCGCAAAAAAGTATTGACATTTCAAAAAATAGATTTTCCACCCCAAAAGAAATGACAATTATTGACCCAGCATAACAAGTCAATCCGAATAGTTTCAATTTCAAGACATGCAAACTTCGACGCCTCCAAGTATATCTGTATATCCAAACACCTGTTAGCAGTAGTTCGCTCGTGTGGGCGGCAGGTCACATCGCCTTTAAACGTTTTATCAAATCGATCTCAAAGTTCTGATCAAGTAAAACCAAACGCTTGGAAGCTGATGTGAAATTCGTTCAAAAATCAGCAAACTCGTGTGACAAAAAAAAAGTTCCAAATCATCCAAGTATTACAGAAAATAATGAAATTTGAATTTTTGAATTCCCCTATCCCACCCCCCCC